AAAAAGTCGCTGAGAAAAAGAATGGCTAAAGTGGGTAAAAGACAGCTGCCTAACGCCCAGGGAGGCAGGCAGGTAACTTGCTAAGGGAGTCTGGATCCCACTCATTCAGGCTCCTTCGAGAACCTGCGTTTGGACTGTCAGAGAAAAGAGGGACCCAAACGTCTCTCCCATTTGACAGCAAGGAAACTGAGACCCAGAGAGGAGTGACTTGTCCAAGGTCGCTCGGGGGGAATCCTGAAACTTACAGGTTCCAGACTCCCAGGCCCGGCAGCCCCTGTACCCCCACCCCCGCCCTTTCAGAACCCTGGCACCGCCCCCCGCCTTGGGTCTTGGGCAACCCCGTCCGGGCCGCTCTGGGGGCAGACCGGGGCCACCGAGAAAATGAGGGGTCTGCTGGCATTTCCAGCCCCCGCCCGCGCACCTGCCGCTCTCTGGGCAGCCGGCAGAGCCCCGCCTCCGGGACCTCTCACGAACGCCGGCCCGCGTCACCAGCCCCCACGGCCGGCCGGCTAGCAAAGCAGCGACCCGGAACCGCACCTCCACCAGCGCTCCGGAAGTGGCTGCGTGCGGGGCGGGCCTGCCGTGCGCATGCGCCCGCTCGCGGTCTCCGCGAACGACTTCCAGATCTTTGGGGCGGCGGTTGGGACGGAGCCGCTGGAGGGCGCGGGCGCCAGGCCGGGCGCTCCTTGAGGCCGGCCTGCCACGTCAGTCAGAGGACCGACATGTGGACGATGACTGGGTGGCCAAAGCCTTTCTTGTTGTTGTTGTTGTTGTTTTAAGGGGGCGGTGCGGAGCGGGGGGAGTGGGAGGAGCCTACTGGCAGAAGGGGAATCCCCAATTGGTGCCGTGGGGCCAGCGTGTGCTGTGAGGTTTAGAAACCCCGAAGCCGTGACTGTGCTCAGCCGACTGGGAGTTTCCGTTCCGCTCTCCGCATCCCAATCCCACTGCACCGCACACGGCCCTCTTGTCACTTTGTAGTAATCCCTGCAAGCCTGTGGCTCCAGAAACTAGAACTCGGTCTTCGCGCCTCGTGACTGAGTGTTGTAACGTTTGTGCCTATGACCTGCTGCAAGTTATACGATTTATATCGCAACCCAGGACACACATAATGTACCATTGATAGAAGCGCTTCCAGAATCAGGCCCTTACATAATGCACTTCGATATATTGCATTTCACTAATAAACAAGCTGGTGGCAGCCCACTACGTTCATTTCGGATCTGCTAATGGGCCTCCAACTTTCGACAGTTGAGCAAAGTCCAGAGAGGCAAAACTGCCTCGTTCAAAGTTACCCTGCAAATTGGTAGCCTACGTCGGGTCTCTGGACTCCTCAGTGCCAACCAAGACAGACATTCTACACTTAAGTCGCTCTTGTTCTCGACCAAGACCCAAAACCAGCCGGAAAGTCAGCAGCTTCCACCCTCCACCTCCCAAACAATCTTCCCTCCGTGTGTCTCAGTTTTGAGCACCGCAAGCAGGGCGGTGGAACAAACCAAGACTAGGACTCCAAAGAAAAATTTATGAACTAGAAGATTAAACATTGAACCTACGGACTTCAAGACAGTCTGAAGTGTCTGAGGTGTTACCTGAAAGAAGCAAACCCTAATAGTTGAGCACGTATGTTGTTAACAATCCTGAAGAAGGACCAAAAATTTTAAGCAAATAATGTTTATTTTTATATTGATGATACACGTAATATACACGTGGATTCAAGATACAAAATTCATTTACAAGAGTTCACACCTGATGAATGTAGTCACATTCCTAAAGAACATTTATCAATGCAAAATGTTTTCAATACACTGACAACAAAAATCAAATATTCTGTAATCTTATTTTTCAATAAACATCAAAACAACGTTTAACTTTCCATCCTCTAGCGTTTAAGTGCCCTTAAGGTGGCAGGCACTGTAACAGAAGAAAACATTGGAAAGACAAGGGCCTACTGAATCCACTCTGCAGAATCACAGTGTTTACTCTGAAATTCATTTAGTGAAGTAGTTAGTGAAAGGCTTGCTATCCTTTATGACAAATCACATATCATACAAGAGTCAAAAGTGATGAACTCAAGGAAATAACATGTTTCAGTAACTTCTCAGTTTCTAAAATCTATGAAGTACTAATCATAACAGACACAGCAGTAAAAGGCTACTGAAAACACAACAGGAAAACATCTTTAGGAGTATGTATGTATGGCTTAAGCAATTCAGAAACACAACAAATAAGACTTTCACAATACCACAAATGCTCAAGTCAAATGATAATTGACGATATAATTTTCCCCCTTAGTCATTGGTAGTAAACAGCCCCTTCAAAATTTATTCTACTGGTAACATATAAAACTAATGAATCCAAATGGTTTGCTGTCTCACAGAGCTGAGTTGATGAATTTTGATCTAAAATATTAACCCACAATACTAAAAATTTAATACAAATGAGCAACAAGACTATGTCTCAAGGATTACAGTGATTTATCAATAGCTAGATAGGCAACCGAATAGCTTCGTTATTTGCACACGGATTAGCAGCACTTGGATAAGAACTGTTACATGAAAATTATTGTGCTTCAATCTCTTGAGGAGAGCTAATAGATATAACTCTATAATCCCTATAGTGTTACAATTCTATAACATTTCAGTTACAGACAAGCACAATTTTTAAAAAGTATTTCACACTACCACAAAATCAAGTAATTGTATTCTCCAAATGTAATTTCTGCTATGATTGAAACAAGGGCATTTATGCCTGATATCCATAAGCTAGATAGTAGGTTCACCATTATTTTCAGGGAAAAAGTTCAAACACAACTTATTTTAACTCCTATTTGATTAGCTTAACTTTTAGTGATGATTTGAATAAAGAAAAAGGATATATTCAACTTGACAATGGAAACTGATCAGAGAAAATAACAATGTGGACTGAAATGACAATAATTTTTAAAGTAAGAAATGATTTATAACTGCTTCATCTGATTCAATAATTAATAAAACCACTATTTGTACTGGTGCTACACATGAAGATAACCTATTTGGATAATTTCCTTGACTTGTAAGCTCTACTGTGAAAATGTTAGGGCATTGTATCTGCCTAAGTCCTGTCTACCTCAACTGGGAGAAGTGTCCAAAATATAAGACTCTCTGATTGTTAAACAGCAAGGTTTATTAAAAACAAACAAAAAAATCATTGGAGAACTAGCCATATGGTCTATGTGGCAAAAGGAATGTATCCAGAGAACTAGAAAAAGCTACAAAGTCCTCAAATATTTTACTGAACCGTTAAATTTATTTTTAATAAGATACTAAGAGCTAAAAAAAAAAAAAACACACACACACACTCTCATTCTTCAGGAAATAATAAAAATTCTTATTGCCCTAAACATTCTAAGTAATTTTTTTTCTGCAGATCTTTAATACATCACAACACATAATTTAGGAGGAAGTCATGACATGCAAAGGAGGGTAGGAATAAAAAATTTTTAAATGCAGTGGTTATTTTTCTATGGTTTGGAAGTATTTACTTTGGGATTATCATAATATCATTTCACATTTTATAGTAGTCGATCATACTGATTTGATGTTTGAGAAAACAAATTTTAATGTTCACAAACCTTAATTTTCATCACAGACAAGTGTACATTCACAACAGCTTCAGAAAAGAATGCTAGTGATAAAAAAAATTTAAATACTGTTTACTGCAGACCTGTAGGAAGGCTAGCTATAATTCCTGATCTCATTCTGAAAGTGATAAAATCACTCCACTCTATTAACTTTCATTCCATAAGCCTATCAGAAAAGTAAAAGTCTGAACCCTGAAATTACCAGTATCTCAATAAACAATACTAGCCCAAAAAGATGATTGTCTAGGAAAATATTCCTAATATGTAGTATGTTTTACGATCAATTTTAGGCTTAAGTGAATCTGGAGTGCAGAATTAATAAGATATACTTCAAACTATTAAAAAACTCTGAATCTAACTGTTTGAATAATGTTTTTAAAAAAATCACACTGCTGACAGTAGTTTGAGAAGTAATAACTTTTAAAGAAAACACAAAAGAAATTAACAAAAATATTTTAAAATTAAGAAATGGGGTTTCAGTGATTAATAACAATGTTATACAGAAATGGAATTCTCAAAAGCTACACCAACCTAATAAGTGAAAAGTACCAATTTTAGCTTAAGAAAACATTTCATATTTACAGACTTATATTTCTATGGCACCAACAAATTAGTTTAATTTAATGCATGTATCTTTACTCAATTTAAGGGTATGTCCCCCTACGTTATCCTGACACCCTTCCCTTCGATAGGTGATTGATTCCATTCACACATCAATTATTTTTCCCTAAACACAAGGCATGCTTAATTAGTCTGCTCAAAAACTCAGTGAAGCTGGAACACAGTGTAATAGAGTGTTTTGAAATTTTAGTTTGAGGAAGATGAATTGCCTTTTTTTTTAAAGGCAAAGTGGTCACGTTATCCAGGAAACACTGGGAGGTTCAGCATGAATAGGAATAGCATATCAATGTCTAAGAGCACAGAATGGGGGAAAGGGCTTGGCTTCCTAAGCATTCTTACCTTATTTAACTGCCAAGCAACTGGCTTTACGACTGTTAAAGACAGAGGTCATAGTCACAATGTCAATCTCATCTACTGCACTTTTTGTTGCTGCTCCTTTCCTCAAATTAACGTCCATACTGCGCCTGAGTCAGTTCTGTGAATTTTAAATAGCATAACATCTGCTCTGCTACTCCAACTGCAATAAATGATTTGGTTACTAAAACAACAGAATGTTAGACACTATGGACATTTTTCACTGATTTTTCAGAAATAGCACATTACCAAATTTTAAGATTTACTCAAGAAAAAGGCAATTATAACTTTATTTTAAATTTAATACTGTAATTGAGAAGTGTTACGAATAGTTGGGATTTTTATTACAAAATATAGTGAAGAGGCAAATGTGACATTTGTTGGGTGGTAAAACTAACTTCTCGATTTAAGAAAATTTAATATTATATCAGATTCAGTCTCTGAAAAATAATGGAGCAAACAGTTGTTTTGCAGTTATATTTTATCATGCAAAAATAACCTCTACTTAATTTTTGCGGTGAATGTATTCAAGTGTGTATTAAACATCTCCCACACTCTTCCATGCAAATATACATGCCAGGTGAAGACAGGAGTAACTGAGAATCGATGGTCTATGATATTCCATAGGTTCACATGTTGGCACTGCACATATTTACTATCGTCTAAGAGGATATCCCCCCGCCCCTCCCACCCCCATCATCCTTGGTAGCGGTTTGGAGGCCCAGATTTTATAGCACGCCATGCATCTAATATTAAGACTCCTATTTCATGTGTGAATATATCATCAATTTGCAGAACACAAGTGGTCTCATAGAGACAAAGAAATACGACTGGAGGCATTTTATTCACTGAAAGCCATTTCCTCAGATGAGCCTACTCATCTCTGATATGCAGCTCTGATAAGGAAAATCTAGAGTAAGAAATGCCAAGACAGGACTAAATTAATCACAGCTGCTGCAAATATACAGATTAATACTCTCCTGTTCCTTATTAAATCCCACCCCACCGAGGTAAAGCCTTCCCCTTGCTAATAATGCCCCTTTCTCTGCCTCACAGAGACAGATATAAAATGAGACACATTGGTGAAAAAACTGTTCCAAAATTAAAATTTAGCATCAGGTATGGGCATGGCAACTATAAAACAAATCTCTCAATTTAAAGGACAGTTTCCTATCTATCTTGAAATGTGATCAAAGTCATTTTTCCACAGCCCCTTAATTCTTAATATAAATACTACTCAGTAATAATACTCAACTATGGGTCAAGAAAATAAAGGACTAATATAGCTTAAGAACCTGCTGGTGTCTCCATTTCACACACTAAGGTTTTTCAGGTTTATATCACTAATTTGTCCTCAGTTTAAATGGAAATTGGCAGATGATTTAAAGCTAAGAATATCCTGCTTTCTTTTAAGGTTTTCATATCCTAATTCCAACTCCAAATTAGCCAATTTTACCCAAACACAAGCCCCTCAAAATAGAGGCTCATGAATGAGATACAGCCACAACCTAATTACAGCAGCATGAACAATGCCACTATGATGTCCTCACAGAACTTAAATAAATTCAGCCCACAATGGGTATGGGTATATAATATACACATACTGTATCACTGCATACCAATATATTTACAAATATGTACATATATACAAAAAAGTATACACAGAGATTGCATTTAGCATCACAAAAATATACACATGCGATTACAAATAAAATAGGATTTTCAAATAAATAAGGTCAACAAAAGAGCCCTCAATGTAAATACCCTTTATACTCTCCAAACACACACAGCAACATACACACCCAAAATATCACCAGGAGATTCATACCATTCATATTCGTATCAAATCTTTTTACTCACTTAGGGTAGGGAGGTGGTTCTGAATCACTGGCACTAGCCAAGTCTACACACCTTGGCACCTTACTCTATTTCCAGTCCAGAATGTTCTGTATATATCAGGCTGATTACAAGTCCCCGTGGATTACTACAAGATTTTTCAACCGAGTCCAAATCCCTTCTAAGAGACAAAGTTACGAAGTCATACTGGTCAGAGATTCAAGTTGGAGAAGAAAGCTAAAGAAAACCCCACAATTGCTATATGAATCAGATTGGATGCTTTTTCCTCAATGAAACTCAGTACAATTGCCACCTAATCTGTTTCAGAGAATTCTATTACAAGAAGAAAATAAGGGGCAGTAGCCACAAGTAAGGAAAAAAAGAAAACCCAGATCCTGTATCAGGAAAATTTCAGCCACGACTAGATTGCACTTTGCTTCTATAATCTCAAAACATTTCAACTTGGTAAAAATATAAAGGGTACAATAAATTCTATGTGCTTTGAGAGGTTTTGAGAGCACCACTTCCTAGGAGGAAAACACACACACACACATACAAAAAATATATCCTGGCTAGAATCAAGACTAAATTGTTTGGCTTGGGGATTTCTTATAATTAATAAAAATTTGCTAGGGATGACTGATTTCCTGGTTTCAATATTTGATATAATTTTAAAATACCATAACCTTTTGTGCCAAAATATAAATCTCTAATTATTCTTTTCTTGTTCATTATAGAAATCAACCTGAGCTACTAGTAAGACTGGGCTGAGGTTAGGAGATTTGAGTTTCAGCTCTAGCTCTGCCACTATGAATAGACCTATAGTTTTTGGGGGTCTCAGATTTCTCTTCTGAGAAAGAGATAAATTAGCTGCTTTACCAACTTCAGAAATACATAATTAATGAAAGAGAAAATAATTCCGTTGTGCTTAACATTGTTTTGTATGTAAGTGACTTCTCACAATCTTACGCTTTGTTTCGTTTGCAGTGATTCTTAAGGGAGGTGAGAGACTATCAGAATCTCCAGGGGGAGTTTGTGCAATTTGAAAACAAAGAAGTGCTTTTTCCCATTGCTTTGCTTTATTCTTAGTTCCAATGTTTAAATTTCTATGAATTCTAAAATTAAATAAAGGGCTTAATATTTTTATATTTATAAAGGGGAGCAGTATGCATTGAAAAAGAGATTATTTGCCATCGTCTATAGGTGATTGTCCTTTTATATTTCTTTTTCCTTGATTAAAGTAATGTCTTAAAATGTAGAAGCTGGGTGATGGGTATAAAACAATTTGCTAAATTCTAAGTTTGCCTAAAGTTTTCACAATAAAAAGTGTAAAAAAAAAAAACATGAAGTGTTTGCACAAATGTAATCTCAATAAGGCCTACCCTGATCACTCAGACACTGTTCGTCCAGAAACAATTGAATCGTTTCCCTTACCATGCTCAAATTTTCCTCATACTACTTATAACTGTCTAATATAAATTTACTTACTTATTATGTTTATTGCCTGGCTTCTCCTCCTAAAATGTAAACTTCATGAAGACAAGGAATTTTAAACCTGATTTGTTTGCTTTCCCAATGCCTAGACCAAAATCTGGAGTCTAGCTGTTGTTCAGTACCATGTTCTTTTGAAGGCATGAATGAAACAACGGTTTAGAATTTTCTGGCACAGTTTTCCTCTTTTGAAGATTCAAGATCATTTTGGCTCACTTTAGATTTTTAACTACCAATAGGAAATTACTATCAGCTCAAGAAACAATGTCATCATCTAAACTTGTGATTTCTAAGACCCCTTGTTCTTGGACAAACATGTTTCTAATTGCAAAAGCTCTAATTTCTTCAAGAGATTAGTTTTTACATTAACTGAGACCCAAATACTTTCATGAATAAAGACAAGTTAAATATGACTTAGAAAAGAAAATGTTTATGCTAAAATCACAGAAACTAGTTTTCCAGGTGTCAGGGGTAGGGAAATGAATTATTTGGAATCCAAATTTTAATTACAGAACCAGAGAACTGAATAGGACCTTGGGTCAATGTCTTTGCTTTATAGATGAGAATACTATAAAACAGAAACATGAAGACACTTGTCAAAGGGCATAAAGCTAGTTACCAAGAAAGCCAGGACAAGAACTCAGGTCTCCTAGTTCTCAGATCAGTGTTCTTTCTGCTAAAAACAGGTAAGAATAAAGCTCAGGAGGATAAATACTATTTTAAGCATCAGAAGTCAGAAAAGTACGTGGTGTTAGGTATGTTACTGGCACAGGACTTCAGGGGAATTGAAACAAGAGGTCAGTCTATTGCTGTAATCCAGGTGAACACTGTTATGGAAGGAAAGCTATTAAGTTTATTAAGGTACTGAAAAATGGGAAAAAGTCTTTATCTGATAAAGAAAAACAACCCAATGGGCAAAGGAAATCTCCCTCCAGGATAAGTTTTCTAAAGCTTTCTGAAATAATGTTTAAAAGAACAAACAAAAACAATGAGAAAAAACTAATGAAATATCACAAAGTCCCCCAAACCTAAGAACAACGATTTCAAGATTTCAGATGAAAAAAGTCATCAAATTGGAACAGGTATATGAATAAGTTAGACCCAAATAATTTCCTATGCCTGAAATGAAAACCAAGCTAAAAATATTACAGTAAAATTTCCCTAAGGACACAGGAAAGAGGCACCAAAAGCAATCACCTTATGTCCCCTGGAACTGCCAGAGGTAGCATGTGAGCCTGAAGAGAAAATTAGGTAGAAGGGCTTTTGATTCATAGATTTCGGAACTTGAATGCTGTCGAGTCAAAAGAAGGGGGAAAAAATCCAAAACATCATAGCTAATGCGTATGAAATTATGAAAGGGATGACAGAGAAGAAAGAACAAAAAATCTTTGTATTATATATGGAGTCCTATTTAAAATAACAAAAAAAACTTGTGCATGAATATAAAATATTAAATATAAGGAGTTCTTAAAAATCTTATTTCCAAATTGTCAAAGCAAAAGTTACTTCCATTTTAAGCTAAACAATTCAGTTGCCCCCAACTAAAATTACTGACATCTCTGACTTTGAAGTTTCATAAATGTGAACTAAGCAAAAAGATTATAAACTCTGTACTATATGCCACAGCCTTCAATCTGGATAATCTTTAAACCTGATATCGTGAATTAAGAATTTAAATAGAATTCCTCATGGAAAAATCGTATTATGAAACCAACAATCTGATTTTCTGACTGAAATACTTTTTGTCATTTCCAGTATTCAGATTACAAAGAAAACAAAATATGCCAGCATAGCTCATGATAACACAGGGATCACACATTCCAAGTGATATTTATCATCTTAAGACTCCAATTAAAAATTTAAGATGCAAATCGATCCTATACAGTTTCCGAAATTGTGACAGTATTTAATGAATTAAATGATTTCAAAAATTACCTCGATTATTCTTCAAAGAATCATACATTTGACTACCCTACTAAGTTGGAATGAAAAGAAATATTATGGAAAGACTCTGTTCTTGATTTTTAATAGTCCATGCTGGCTAGTTTCATCTTTGTGAACAATGAGATATTTCCTAAATCCACACATTTAAGGTCCAAGTACAAGAGCTGGATTTTCCTCATTATATAAAAATAAATGATTTACTCTTCTGAGGGTGAGAACAGTGACTGTTTGTGTGTAGGGTTAAATGTTGGAGGTAAGCAGCTGTACCTCAAAACTGAAAAGTAAAAATTCCAAGATTAATTGAGTTTTTTAAAAGACTTGAAAGACTGTATTTTAAAACGGTTACCCTAAAAGTTTGAACAATTTTTTGTTTGTTTTTAAAATGGTGGCCTTAAATTAAAAAAATTAAAACTAAGTAACACCACTATGTGTCTGTCATCACATTATAAAACTGCACCATGTAAAATCTGTGGCAAATGAAAAATTGTTTCAACAAGAGGGTTTTTGTTTTAATAGTCATCTATGGTACTCTCGAGGAACACGTTTCGAACATCCAGAATGGACGCTAATTCCAGAATGTGCTTCTGGAGATGAGGGTTTTCCACTGTTTCATCCCTCGGCAGTTGTGGGTATGATTCTGGATAATTTCGCGTTTCCTGGTAGGCAAAGAAGAGAAAAGTCAAGTTTTATAGTTTAATGAAAGAAGTTATATACAACATTAACAAGTATTTCTAAGTATTAAGAAATAACTTAGTATGTATTTCTTTCCTACATATTAGTATGATTCTTAATAGTAGTGTATCTGTTGGACATTTGAAATTGCTGACATTTGGCCACTGTGACCTTAAAAAATGACAGTTTCATATAGTTCAACCTAATATATTCATTTAGTGAGTCATTTCACAAGTACTTATTGGGTCCTATCATTTCTGAGCATTCTGTTATCTTGTAGAAATCATATAATTCCTACTTGTTATGGGAAAAGTCCCTGCACATACAGGACTTTAACAAGTAATTGTTAAATGAATGAATAAATAGATGTTACAGCAGAACTCAGAATGAGAGGAAAGACATGAGAAGCACTGAAAAAGGCAAATTAATGAGGCTTGGAAATTAATTATATGACAGAGGTGTCAAGATGGCTGACTGTAAGGCTTTAGGAACAGGTGACATAAGACAAGAGCCAGGATCCACTGAGAGAAAAAGAGAAGAGAGGAAATAATTTGGAGAGAGTATAAAGCTTCAGGTTTTTGGTATATTTATTTGAAGTAATAGGGTAATACAAATTGAACTACCCCTCAACAGGAATTCGAAAATTCAAGTCTGCATCTCGGAAGACAGGTGTGAGCAGTATATGTAAACACGCATATAATCTGCATGGAGATAAATATTAAACCAAGAAAATGGATGAGATGTCTAAGAATATTAGCAAAGAGAGTGATGAAAGAAAAAAAAGAGTCCCTAGAAAGGGAGAAGAAATAATAGCAGGAAAAAAAAAAAAAAGGAATAGTCAAAGAAAAAGGGAAAAAAACCAACTTTTTGTAATTGCATGGAAGCAAAAGAAAGAGAATTTTAAATATCAGGTTGTTCTCACTTGGAAATTCTTCTTTACTTGGTAATTTCTATATATTATAATTTTGCCGCTCATTTAAAATTCCCTGGAGAAATAAGTCACTACTTTTCTGTGCATCCCACATGACAGTTCATATACTCAAATGTCACTTTTATCTCCTTCAGCTTGTAGGCTTTACTCATTACAACTATAAAGACCAAATTTTTGTATTACCGCACTAAATATTATGAGGAGAGACAAAAAAAGAAATGTTCTAAACCCCTAAAAGAAGAAAAAAACAAAAAACAAGAACTACTGGTGGACTATTGTAAGGTGAACAATTCTCTCAGCTCACACAGGGCTGAGAGATGTTTGAGTTCTGACCAAACACCTCCTAGAGTAGAGAAGATTTATCTGTGGAAACAGAGGACATATGAAAGACATCCCAGAAACATCATCCCTTGTCGTATATTGATAAGCTAACATTACTCTAAAAGCTACCTTAAAAAGCTTGAAAACAAGCCATGAAAAGGTCAAAGAGGGGTGCTTGGGTGGCTCAGTTGGTTAAGGATCTGAGTTCAGCTCAGGTCATGATCTCATGGTTTGTTAGAATCCCATATGGGGTGAGTTCATGTACCACTTTGGGTGAGCTTATGCCCTGCTTCAGGTGAGCTACAGTCCCACTTCAGGTGACCACAAGTAGTACCACATGGGGTGAACAAGAGCCCTGCTTTGGGTGAACATGAGTCCCACTTCAGGTGAGCCCTGCTTCTCTCTGTTTCTCTCCCTCTCTCTCTGCCCCTCATGGGATTCTCCCTCTCTCTCTCTCCTTCTCCCTTTCTCCCTGCCCTTCATTCACTTGTGACCTCTCAAAACAACAACAAAACAAAACAAGTCAAAGAAATGTGCAAGTGATTTAACTCCTGCTAGAATAAAGTCCAACATTCTTTAAAGAAAGACAACAAAGTCTAGAATTCAACATCATAAAACTCACAATGCACACACTCTAAGAAAAATTACTAAACATACAAAAAATTAGTAATACAAAACCCCTAACCAGGAGGAAAAATCATAAAAACAAAGCTGTAAATGATAGAGAATATAGTATCAGCAGACAAGGACTTTAGCTCTTACACATACATTTAAGGGCACAAAGAAAACAAAATGAGAAGAGAAATGGAAAATATTAAAAGAATCAAACAGAACTTCTAGGAATGAGAAAAATGTAATTCCTGAAACAAAAAACTAAATGGAAAGGATTAACAGCATATTAGATGCTGTGGAAGAAAACATCAGTGAACTTGAAGACACAGCAATAGGAACTGAAACAGAAAGAGACTTTTTTTTAATGAGGAGCAAATGAAGTGATCTCAAGGTTATAACATGTTGTCTAATATATATGTAACTAAGTTCTAGAGACAATGGAGGAAGAGAGAAAAATATTTGAATAAATCAAGTATTCCAAAATATTCCAAAACTATTCCATAGATCCAAGATGCTCAAGGAACCCCAAGAAAAAAAGAAATAATGAAAACCCTATCAAGGTACACAATTACCAAATTATAGGAAATCAATATGAAGAGAAAATCTTAAAATTACTCAGAGAAAAAAGAAAAGACGAATTACAAATCACAGTAATTAATAGAACGGCATTCAGAAAATCAGTAACAATACAAAAACTGTGAACTACGTTATAACAGATATTTACAAAACTCTTCATCTGACAATATGACAGTAGCAGCATGTATGTTTATTTCAAGTGCCCATAGAACATTTACCATAATAGATGACAATCTGGATGATAAAGCAAATCTCAGTAACTTAAAAGGACTCAAACCATATTAGGTATATTACCTGACCACAAAGGAATTAACAGAGAAATCAGTAAGATAATGATAACTTGAATATTTAGATACAAAACAACATATTCCTACATAACCCATGGTTAAAAAAAAATCAAGAGTAACATAAGGACTGTTTCAGAGAAATAAATAATGAAAGAACTAATCACCACCAGAACTGCACTATAAGAAGTGATAAAAGGGGCGCCTGAGTAACTCAGTCAGTTGAGTGTCCAACTTTGGCTCATGTCATGATCTCATGGTTCATGGGTTCAAGCCATGAATCATCAGGATCAGTGCTGATAGCTCAGAGCCTGGAGTCTGTTTCAGATTCTGTGTCTCCCTTTCCCTCTCTCTGCCCTTCCCCTGCTTGTGCTTACACTCTCTCTCAAAAATAAATAAATAAACATTAAAAAAAAAAGAAATGATAAAGAAATTCTATAGTAAGAAAAATGATATCAGATGGAAAATCGAGTACAGAAAGAAATAAAATAAAATAAGAAATAAATAAACACACACACAAAAAAGTAAAACAACAGAGATAAATCATTAGTGATGTTAACATAAAATTCTAAGACAAAAACCAAACCAAACCTCAATTAATTCAAATGAAGATAAAGGCAGCAGAGAAAGAAAAAAGGTACAAACCACAGTTAGGACAAATAGATAACAAATAATAACATATTTAAAATTTTTTTTTTAATGTTTATTCTTGAGAGAGTGAGTGAGACAGAGCATGAGTAGGGGAGGGACAGAGAGAGAGGGGACACAGACTCTGAAGCAGGCTCCAGGCTCCGAACTGTCACTACAGAGGCCGATGAAGGGCTCGAACTCACGAACCATGAGATCATGACCTGAGCCAAAGTCAGATGTTCAACTGACTGAGCCATATAGGTGCCCCTAAATAACAGCATTTATTTAAGTCAAGCTATGTTAAAAATTACATTTATTTATTTATTTAATGTTTATTTATTTTTGAGAGAGAGATAGAGTGCAAGTGGGGGAGGGGCAGACAGAGAGGGAGACACAGAATCTGAAGCAGGCTCCAGGCTCCAAGCTGTCAGCACAGAGCCCGACGTGGGGCTCGAACTCACAAACCGTGAGATCATGACCTGAGCTGAAGTTGAATGCTTAACTGACTGAGCCACCCCGGTGCCCCTAAAAATTACATTTAATATAAACATAATTCAAAACTAAAAAATGTCAAAGGAAAGGTAGAGATTGTCAAACTAGAAAAAAAAAGCAAGACCTAACTAATGCTATTGAAAAGAAATCCACTTCAAATAAATATAAAGAGAGCCATAGGTTAAAGGATGAAAAAAGATTGGTCATGCAAACATAAACCAGGAGAAAACAGGTATGGTCATATTAATATAAACCAAATAGACTACAGATCAAGGAATACTGCCACACATAACAGACATTGCATAAATGAAGGGGTAATTTCAACAAGAAGATATAACAACCCTACTTATGTATGAACTCAACTTCAGGGGCGCCTGGGTGGCTCAGTCAGTTAAGCGTCCAACTCATGGTTTCGGCTCAGGTCACGATCTCATTGTTCGCAAGCTCGAGCTCCACGTTGGGCTCTGCACTGTCAGCGCAGAGCCTGCTTGGGATACTCTCTCCCTCTCTCTCTGACCCTCCTGCACTTGTACTCTCTCTCCCAAAATAAATAAACATAAAACAAATAAAAATAAAAACAGCTTCAAAATGCACAAGCAAAAAACAAAAGCAAAATGAGAAACCAACCAATTCACAATGATAATTAGAGGTTTAGATATTCCCCTGTTAGGGACAGAACAAGCAGACAGAAAATCAGTGAGAATACAGAGGACTTAACACTGCTTCAAATAGTTCAATAACAAATTGAATGAACTGACATTTATATATAACTCCATCTAATAACAGAATACCCATTCTTTTCAAGCACAGATAGAACCTTCATCAAAATAATTCATACGCAGAGTCATAAACAAGTCTCAATGAACTTATAATTATTTAATAACCGTATTTTTTTTTAATGTTTATTTTTGAGAGAGAGAGAGAGGCTGAGCACGAATAGGGGGGTAGGGCAGAGAGAGAGGAAGACACAGAGTCTGAAGCAGGCTCCAGGCTCTGAGCTGTTAGCACAGAGCCTGACGCGGGGCTTGAACTCACAAACCACGGGATCATGACCTGAGCTGAAGTCGGACGTTTAACCAACTGAGCCAGCCAGGTGCCCCTAAACTTAAAATTATTTAAATCATACAACTAAAGCAGT